TGGGACACTCATTCTAGGGGAAAGCAGCCATCATGTAGGAAGACCAACTACCTAGAGACTGCCATGTCAGAGAGGCTCTGCTTGACAGTCCCAAATGAACCTGCTTCCAGCCATCCCCATCATGGTGCCAGACGTGTGAGTGAAGCCAGTTTGGATTCTCTGGTCCTGCCCATCTGCCACCTAAATAACACTGAGCAACCTCCATTGAAGCCCCAAGGAGAATTGCCCAGCCAAGCTCTATCCTAAATCCTAACCAACAGATTCCAGGAGATAAAATGGTTGTTGTTTTAAGCCACTAAATTTTAGGGTAGTTTGTTCCTTAGCAATAGGTAACAAATACTGCTTTAGGTTGGAAAGCTTAGAAAGAAAGTAAACTACTCTGAACAGGGCAAAGTGCTAAGTCCAGAGGGGCCGCTGGCTTGGGTTTGGTGCCCTCTGCAGGAACCATGAATAGAAATTGGCCTTAACTCCTACGTGGACTTTTATTTATCTGCCCAGGAGAAAAGTCAGGCTGAGAGGGGACTTAGTGATTGTATGGCCCAGTGTTCTCAACCGTGGTGGGTACGTGGGTATGTGGAGGTAGTAGACTGCAATAACCGCCTAATTCTCACACCTCTCCAACCTACTTTGCAACTCCTCCCATCAGCTGGTGGAAGGCACTGTATTTGCCCACCCCTTGATTCTGAACTTGACCCTGCGACTTGCTCTGGCCAATGACACGTTAGCAATTGTGACAGAGGCAGTGGTGTTTTCTCTCTCAATCTGGCACCTCTGCCTCTGCCATGACAATATGCCTACGCTAGGCTGCTAGAAGATAAGACACATGGAGCCCACCTGAATTGGCCAAGGCCATCGTGGATCAGCTGAATCTGTCAACTGCCAGACATATGGAGCCCGGTCAAGACCAGACTGTCCAGGCACTCCCAGTCTAAATCATCAATCCAGACTTGTAAGCAAAATAAATGCTTATTTTAAGCCAATGAATACTGGGATGCTTTGTTACATATCATTGTAGAGGTAACAGTTAACTCAGGATCAAAGTCCCTTAAGTGATGAATGTACACTGCCACTACCCCAGAAAGTCCTGGTTCAAGTCTAACTCCTATTTCCACCTGAGGAAACGGAAGTCAGTTGCAGAATAAGCAGCCTAGTTCTTTCTCTCTTTTTTTAAAGATTTTATTTATTTGAGAGAGAGCAAGCACAAGCAGGGGGAGCAGCAGAGGGAGAGGGAGAAGCAGGCTCCCTGCGGAGCAGGGAGCCCCATATGGGGCTCAATCCCAGGACCCCGGGATCATGACCTGAGCCGAAGACAGACGCTTAACGACTGAGCCACCCAGGCGCCCCTAGCCTAGTTCTCTTAATGTGTAATTATAGTCAATCCAAATCTATGGAACACCCATTTGGTGAAAGACACCAGAGAATTAAAAGGGTCACTGCCCACCTAGAAGTTTATAGACTACCTGGAGCCAAGACCACAGGGCTGATGTGGGCCCTGCTGTATGTGGAAGGGAAGCAGGAGGCAGGATCACTTCCAGCCTGTGATGTCTGTGTGGATGGAGGAGTGGCATGGCAGTGCAGGTGGAAGGAACCTGGTGAGCTAAAATGACTAGGCTATGTCTAGGCATTCAGTTTAACCCGTGCATGGTTCTCAGATTGAAAGCTAAGCTGCCTTTCCAGACCCAAATAATGGCCTCAGGTGCCATTTGGCTTGCTAAAGACAACCTTTAGTTTTGAACTTCACACCTTTCAAGACTGCGGTGTTTATCCTAATGATCATAAACACCAAATTAAAAAGGAATTCATTTAGATAAAGTAGGCTTAAGTATAAAGGATTCTTAATAGAATCCTACATTTTTCATTGATTCCTAGTAAGAAAATAAAATCCACCAAGACATGGAGTGTATTGCTGACCTTTTTTTTTTTTACTTAAATATAGTGATCTTTAAGAGAAGAAACCAAAAAAAACTTTACACGGCAAATATTTTACATAAATGTAAACATGCACATCTACTTCACAATTATGCAAAATAAACTTTTAGGCACAAGATTTTAAAAATAATTAAAGAATAAGACAATGAATCCAAGACAGATAGGACAGAAGCAACAAAAACACATCTCATAATGCTTCAGTTGGTCTTGTCTTCCAACCTACTGGTTAAGGCCTGAGTTTCAGAAATCCTACCTTCCTTGCCAAATGGAAACATCCAATTTGGCTGTACCTAATATACATCCACATAACAGACTATTATCTTTCAAAATAATGTAATAAATACATCTCTCACACACACACATACACACACCCCCATACATATACCCTACTTAACCAGCCTCTCAAAAAAGATAGCAAGGATTTTGGAATTTTCAAGTTTCCCCACCACTGAAGCACACACATATTAATACCACACACAGAAAAAAAAAAATGATTCTGCTATAGAAATAAAGTAGTTAATGAGTGGCATCATCACAAATCTCTAGTTTGTATTAAGTTTCCCCAAAATCACATCTTTACTGTGGCTTGCCATGGCTCCTTGGGTACCTCGGATTTAAGTCTTTATACCTTGCCTAATGACCCACAGTATGGTAGACGTTATACAAAACAAAGAAAAGGCAATTTTAACAATTCAGAGATTTCAAAACCATGAAAATCAGCATGGATCGTTTCCAGCTGTCTCCAAATGCTTGGAATGTTTTTTCCACGTCTACTCTCTACTCCACTGGCTGGTTTTCTCTGCCTCCTCCCCACCAGGTTATAAGCATCTGAATGTCTATTCCTGTGAACACCCCAGGGAATAGAGATGAGAATGACAGTTCCTGCTTTTAAGGAGTTCACACCAACCAGAGCTCAAGCAAGAGGAAGGTCAGTGCGTCCACACAGCACTCTAGTGGGCTGAAACGAGCAGAGGAAGAGGCCACAAAGATGGCGTCTCCAGAGCGTCAGGACTGGGGCTTGGCGGGGGTGGGGGGGGGGGGGGGGGTGGATTGAGAAGGCACAGAGGCACAAAGAACAAGTCCAATGAGGCTGGCACGAGGTTACACATGAGACGTAGTCTGTGAGGCCAAATTCTTGATTTCCAAAAAGAAGATTCCTTGTTCTGGTGGGTAAAGCTGGAGGGCCGGGGGAGGGAACCACCGAGGGCTTTGTGCAGAGAACAAACTGGAAACGGGCTAGAGGAGAACGGTGCAGTGTCCGGTAGGACGGGTGACAGAGGAAAGGGTCTGAAGCCCAGAGAGCTCGACTCGCCAAACCCAGTGCCACACGCAAGCATTTCCTATAGAGCCAGACATCCTGACCCAACATGCCAAAAACCACAGCTCTTGTCTGTATAAATCAAGACTTTGGGAGAACAAAAAAGAGAGAGAGAGGGCTTTAAGTAGATATTTTTAGTTCAAGTTCCTGGAACCTGCCCCAGCTTGAGCAAGTTAAGAGCTGTGAAACAAGTCCCACATCCAGTAACAAGTCAAGTCTCCCAATCGTGACCTTCACCTTCCCTGAGCTGTCATTACCAAGGAATTATAAAACAATTATCAATTCATTATAAATTCCTACCTGCCATTAAACGCACTGAAACCTCACGATGGGCTGAGCACCCAGCACAGAGTACTGGTGTGTTAGCCTGTTACCTGTACTAGGTGGGGTGGTGTGAGTGCGCCATGGGATGACGGCGCTGGGCCCCCATCTCCAGCGCACCAGAGCCCCTGTGTGCATCAAACAGGTGGCTCTGTAAGGTGCGACTCTCACCAAAGCCCCCACCGTGAATCATCTCATTCCTTTCCAGGTCCAGACTGCTTCCATCCACTAAGCGGGGGATGCAGAGGCCATCTTTGAGTGGAGGAACCCAAGGAAGGAAAATAAATTTTAATGTTTGTGATACCCACTGAACCAAAGTAAATGGAAATTTCTCAGGACCTTCAAACTGTATTCATTCAAATTACAGAAATGGGCTACTCCATACTAATCATGGGACGATTTATCACACATTCCCTAAATATGGAACATTTACTAGTGACCACTTTCCTGTAACAGATTCATTTGGAAACTGCACACTGCAAAAAGGCAATCTTGTGACTTTCTTCTAGCTGTGTATCAAAAGTACAAATCGGTCTGGGAGTCAGGCACGAACAGTGGTAGAAAAGCAGGAACAGAAGAAATGCCTTCTCAAAGAATGTGCTCATTTCATATTGCAGAACTGCTTCCTATCTAGATTCTGGGTTTCTGAAAACCCGCTGCTGGTTCTCTTGTTCGGAAAGGTTCCTTCACTACACCTCTCTTCCACTCCTACCCTCCCCCCCACTAAAATGCACTGAATGAAGAACGCTTAGCACGGATCTACAGAACTAAGAGCCCCCATCTGACTGCATCTCACGCGTCAGCGCGGTGGCTGCTGGTCTGACCTGCTCATCCAGCCTCAGGTATTTAGCGACTTTTTGGATCAGAATTTGAGTCAGAAGTACCCAACACTTTTGTCTTTTGCAATGCAATAAGAGCTCCGATGTACAACTATCAGTGTCATGTATAAGAATCTCCAGTTCCAATAAATGAGATTCAAGGGAGGGAGCAGCAGGGAAAGCCTAGACTGGGGGCAGGAGACGGGCCATCAGCCAGCCGTAGGCTTCTCTTTCCTTATTTGTAAATGAGGGGGTTGAACTAGCAGAGCTCCAGGGTCCTGCCTGGCGGACGCTCTAGGACTCTCTCTAAGTCGGTTCCTACACAGGCTTATCAGGTTGGGTCTGACAAAACTTCCTTACCACTTTGTCTCAACAGTTGTAAAGTGGTTTTAACATACTTCTATGCTGCAGTGTGAGGTTTCCCTCCCTCTCCTACCCCTCAAAGACCAGGTTTCATTTCACTGGTGCAGACCACTTGGCCAAACTGGTGGCTGCTGAGGTTTAAAACGGAATCACTGGCCCCCTAAAGATAATGGCCTTTGACTAACCTAGACCAGGGCACATTGGTCTGTTGTCTATGAACAGTGTTAACCAAATAGAAATATAATTCTGTTAGTTCTTCCATAGTTCTACTTTGCAACATGAGATTGTTCAAAAATTACACGAGAAAATCACCCATCACCACTAAGTTAAAGACTTGAATGTCTGAGACCTCCATAGCCTCAAACTCCTGCACAGTCACTGATCCACAGCGTGTCCCTCTCAGCACGGGGCTCCGTGCGAGCGCAGCCTGGTCCAGCAGCACATCTGTGCACGAGAAGCTGATTTCGAAAGATCCAACTCTAGTCATCACTGTCACTGCCAGACTCACTCAACTGCAAGTCATTTCCTATAAAAAGAAAACAGAATCACACCAAAAGTGCACAACTTCAAAAGGACTTCCCCACAATTCTTTGACTGCCTTGGTTATCACACTACAGTAAAACCAAGCCAATTCCACTTAATTAGGGAGGAAAATCAATTTGGCTCAGTGACAAAGCTGATGCAGTCAACATTTTTAAAGAAATGCTATTCTTGGTAGCTGCAAAGCACAGCAATGCTGCTCACTGGGATAGAACAGGTGAGGAGCAGGCCAGACAACTTTTAAATGTCTTAATAAATAGCAAGAAAACATTTATAAATAACTGATTCACCATCTAGAATTGTCCACATTAGATTGCTTTATAAAAGCTAAAATAACACGGAGTTAGGCTTCCTGTTAAGGAAGCCGAATACTGTTTATACCAGGAACATGCTAATCCAGGATCCCCTCTGGGACATCTCTGTCCAGGAGATTCATGTTACTTTAAACCTCAACTCAACTAATGAGCTTTTGTAAAGCCTCCGATTCTTGTTTAGTGTGCTGAATTTAGGAGTGAAGAACAGAAGTACTCAACATTTCAGTCTCAGATGATAATAAAAATAACAGGACCCCAGCTGATACCATAAAAGTGAACTACAACATGACCGATTGCTAATCCCTGGGCCAGTCTTCTCAAAGTTTGTTCTGAGGACCCTGGGTTCCCTGGGACTCCTTCAGGAGGGTACTTCCTTTTCTACTCCACACCTGTGTGATGCCAGATTTTCTTCATCTACATCAGCCTGAACAACTTACGGCAATAGACTGAATGCAGAAGTGGGTGTAGAATCCAGCTTTCTACTAAGCTAGACATTAAAGGGAATTCTAAAATTGTAAAAATATGTTACTCTTCTTACTAAATATTTTCTGATTGGAAAATGTGTTCCTCATAAAAATGTTACTTTTGTTAACATGTGATGGTTATTATTGTTACCTTAAATGAATTACTGAATATATTTTAAATATTTCTCAGTTTTCATTTCTAATATGATAAACATTGATAGATCTAAGCCACATACACAAAAGCTCTTTGGGGTCAATAATTTTTAGAGTTAAGAGCTCTGAGACCCAAGAATGTGATAACTAATGTTCTAAACTTAAGGAAGTTTACACGGGCATGGCAACCGCTGGTCACTCCCAATCAGCTAAGCTGAGCATGATCTCTTACACAATAACATGCTGTGCATTTAACAGGTCAGTGTAAATGGAGGTGAAAATCTAGTTTTGAAATCGCTTATATGATTGATTTGATTCAGGTTCAAATTGATCCACTTATTTATTTTTTAGAAGAGAAAATATAATCTAGGTTACTGTTCAGGAAAACAATCTTATAATGACTATATATTTTTATATCAGGGTTAGCAAATTTGCACTATTTACTGTGATTTTAGGGTTTATATGTTGGTTCCAGTTGACAATCCTGGTTTAAATAACTCTAGTGCTTTACTGTCTATGAGATATGCAGTTAAGGTCTTGCTATTCGAAGAGCTGCAGAACAGGATGACTTGGAGCCATAAAGAGCTAAAAGGATTTTAAGGCACTGGTAGGCAGGTAACACCCACGGTGCCTTTTTTTTGCTCTTTCTTTCTAAAAGGAAAGAATAATTTAGCATTAACTGGACAAAATCAGGAACTGACTTAAAGCCACAGTAGCTGTCTGGTACTTTTCCACTGTGAACACCAGACTCCCAATGTGAAGCTTACTCTCCCTAGCCACCTGAGAAGAACACCACCAGAGCACACCCTGATACCCAGAACATAGGCCCACAGTGCGGGGTAGCCCACAGGGTCCTTAACCGGTATCCTAACGGTGCTGAATTCACTCAAGGAAAAGAGCAGGGCCTTGAGTAGTGTTTCTCCAGTGGGGGTGGCTCTGTCCCCCAGAGGACATCTGGGCAATGTCTTAAGATATTCTGGGTTGATACAACTGGGGCAGAAGAGAGGAAGAAGGGCACCTAGTGGGGAGAGGCCAGGAATGCTCTTAGCCATCCTACAATACACGACTGCCCCCCGCCCCACAAATATATACCTGGCCCACAATGTCTCTAGTGCTGACGTTGAGAATTACCTTTGCCTGGTCCACAGTAGTAGGGTTAACTAAGCTGGCATCCCCACTATTGCCTCCTCAAAGGCAGTCACGCCCGCTGAGAGCATTCGTTAGGATTCTGGACAGAGAGGGGCAGAAGGAAGCAGCACTCTCCCCACATCCGAAAGAAAGGAATTTGTCTTTGCTCTTGTTTTCTTCTGCTTTACTTTAGTATCAACTGCACTGAGAGCCACCCAGACACTGCAATGCCACTTTCTCTCCCTCTTGCCAAAGGCTAGTTGGTTTCCAAATATATCCTAATGGCTGGGGTTCCCAAGTCTGCGGGCTGTGGGTCACCACAGTCTGGAGAACTGGGTTCTTGGGACCTGTAAAAAGACCCTGAGGCAGGGGGCAGGATGGTGGCAGGCAGCACCCCTAAAGCCTGGTAAATGCAAAAAACAAAGAGCCAAGCTGTTCATGTTTCAGCATTTTTCAGAATTCACAAAACCTAATTTGTGCCACTGGGGGAAAAAAAGAGAAAGAACAGACTTTTTGTTTTGTACTTCCCTTTTTTTTTACTGTTTGGCAACTTATTCCTTTCTGCTCCAAATTTTCTTGGTCAGGATCCTTTCTTACGCCTTAAGTATCTTCTGGTGTGAGGTAAGCAGAAGCCCAATCTCTGGCCTGACACGCCACCCCGCCTGAGCCAGAAAGGGAGAGCAAACTTACTGAGCGTGTTCATGAGCTGGTTGCTTCCCTGGGGCCGGCCGGTTCCATTGGCAGCGGCCGGCCTGCTGCTGTAGGGCTGCTGGTGTGCAGGCTGTGGGGGGGATGCCGGGCCGTTGTCCTCAGCGCCGCTGCTGGAGCTGTCCTCGTCGCTCCCTGACGAGCTCTCCGACTCTGAGGAACTGCTCCCACTGCTGCTGCTCATCTGCTCAATAATGTCAACTTCGGCTCGCAGCTCTGGGATAAAATGACATGACGGGGGTGAGCACAGCAGCCCCTCTCAGGGCCACACACTGAAACTGCTGTAAACAGTGAAGTGGCAGGACCAACAGCAATGAGGAATAACTTAAACTCCTGCTTCTTAATTCCTTAAAAACATACAAACAAAATGACTAAAACCAAAACCAACAAAATCAAACTCTGTCTTCAGAGAGACAATGGAAACATTAACCTCACCCCAAATAACCAAAAAGAAAACAGTTTCAGATAATGGCTGTTCTGTGTAAGAAGTGAATCGAGTCTATTTGCCTTATCTACTTAAAAAAAAAAAAAAAAGAAAAGAAAAGAAAAAAGATTGTGAATTATGGGAGTAAACACCAAATAAGAGAAATATTATGCTAAGGGGTTGAAAAATATTTGATTAGACACTGGAAGATCTGGATGCTTGTTTTGGATCTACCTCTAACCAGCAGTGAGACCCAGGTGGGAGTCGATGAATTTTCCAAGACACGGCAAAAATGAAAGGCCAGAGCAGGCGGCCTCCGAGTCCTTTTCAGCTTTCCTGTCCCACAGAGAAACTGAGGCAGGCAGGGGGAACCATGGTAACTGAAGGAAAACGGGGAAATGACATTCTTCCTCGGCCCTCTTTCTATAGCTCACCGGCAGCCACACCTGTCAGGTACTACATTTTCTACAGATGAACAGCAGGGAAGGAAAAACATGTTTTCCTAACCTTTCCAAGTCACTGAGTACATTAAGGAGACATCAGAGGATACATTAAGATGCCAGATTTTCCTGTCCAAACATACCACGCGGTTTTAAACAAGTATGGTTCCTTTAAGCATAACTGGCAATAACTAACCACTCATGGTCCAGTTCCTGTTCAACTAAAGTGAAAACTTTAATAAACAGCATTCGAATATCCACGAGGAGAACAAAAACAGGAGGCTTAAGAAATGTGCACCGTGCAGAGAATGATTCTGTTTACTAAAAGAGCGCACTTCTATAAGGTAGAAAAGGCAAATTTCCCAAGGACAACTCTTTATCTTTCCCTATCTACCACTGTTACAGGTTTACTTTTGTTTCATAGAACTTTAGAAATCTGAAATCTGACACTTACCCTCATAACTTCCTAAGAGTCTGGACAACTAAAACCACCCCCTCACTGTACGGGGAGAAAGTCAAGGTGATCCTGGCATCGGGTCTATATTGGAGAGAGCCTGATCAGACCTCTAGGTCCTTCTAGGCCATGTCCATTTCCAGGTCCCCATGGCACTTTCATGTTCACACGCTTTGTGTTAGTACAAAGCATTGGTCCTGGTATTTTAGATGTTCTTCTGACCTAGATACTATACTAACATTGACACATCTGGTTTTCACCCCGACACCTTGGAATTCTCTTCTCCCAAAGCCTTAGAAGAGTGTTGTATAGACCTTTGGATGGCAGTCATGCTTGTTTAATATCCGGGGCCTCTAAGCAGAAAGCTGCAAAGATGGCCACCACTCCAGTCACTGTTCCCGGGCCCCCCTGTCCAATGAGGCACATGGCAACGGCCCCCACCCACATCACCTCTGGAATGGTGAACTCTGCAGAAATGTTTTTCAATGGCAGAAAATGCCTGTGCCATCATGTGATCGCCACAAAAACACCAACATCCCACTCCAAGCTGCTATTGTGTTCCAGAAAATGCTGCCTACCTCTTTTGATGTCATCCAGCTGGGGTTCAGGTGAGGGGTTATCTTTCAAGGGAGAAGTTTTGGGTCCAACTGGAGGCTTTGTTGGAGCTCGGAATGGCATAGGTGGTGGAGGAGGTGGTGGCTGTGATGGCTGTGGGGGACGAGTGGGTTGCTGTTCCATTCGAGCTTGGATTTTACTGCTCCCCTCGGCTCTGAAATGAGATGTGGACATTAAGCTGGAGAGGCAAAAAGAATTCTCACATCTGTTCAGGGGACCAAGTACCCACAGGTCTCTGCACAACCCTGTGATCTTTAAAGACTACTTCAAAATACTGATGTTTGTAATTTTATCACATGAGCTACTCCCTCAACACCTGCCTATTGCATTCCAGTACTTCACTCTGCACCAGAGATACAGAGATGAATGAAACAGACTTGCTGTGCTCATGGAGCTCACGTTTTATAGCAAGCAGGTAAAACCAGTACGCAGGACACAATGCGATTATGAGAACCCTTTTTACTAGGAGACCACAGAGTTATTTATTTGACCTGTGTACAATATAAAGTTATAGTCACAAGTGTATGAGTTACTAAGTAAAACCAGCTCTTGAAATACTGGCTAGTTTGCAGATTTTTGCACGCTCTATTACTGCTTGCTCATCTTGTCATGAGCCAGCTCTTGCGGGCAGACAAGCAAAGCATTCCACCCCAAACTGAGAACATTCTATTCATTAACAATTCCTTTTATAAATGGACTAGCCCAGCAAACTTTGGGCTTTCCAACTTTGGTGTGCACACAAATCACCTGAGGAGCTCATTAAAATGCAGATTCTGACTTAGCAGGTCCTGAAATTCTGCACTTTAAAAAAGCATCCAAAGGGCACCTGGGTGGCTCAGGGTCCTGGGGTGGAGCGGGGCCAGCGGGGAGTCTGCTTCTCTCTCCCTCTGCTCCTCCCCCTGCTTGTGCTCTCTCTTGCTAATAAAGAAAAGCTTTAAAAAAATAAAATTAAATTAAAAAATAAAAAAGCATCCAAGTGATAAAATGCTGCTAGTCCACAGATGACACTGAATGGTGAGAGACATGCCCACAACCATCAGCTGTTGGGGTAACAGTGGCACTGGTTCGGGGAGGTAATTAACACAAATATATCCCAAGCGGGAGAGGAGCAGGAACTTGGAAGCGCACCCCCAGGGTAGGGCTCAGCTGTGGTGCTGGCCTCCAGTGAAGTCACAAGCTCACTAGTAATCAGTCTCTTCATCTGTGTGCTTTTTTTTAAAGGATAACAATAGCACCTTTCTAAAAGTTATGTGTCAAGTTAGGTAGGATAATGCATGAAAGCATTTGGCACAGTGTTCAGCACATGATAACCCAATAAACGGTAGCTACTTTGATTTTTTGTGGAATGAGTACAGAAAAATGGCTTGAGAAAGCATAAACAGAAAAACATTAATCAGTCTGTAACACTCTAAGAGTTCATGACTATACTACAATAATTGCTGTATCACAATGTGAAAAACAGAACCACTGGGTTGCTTCTATTTATGGAATAAATTTTAACTTTAAAATCTAATTGGCCTCATATTAGACATGTAATACCTGCTGAATTAAGTATTAAAAGAGCTCACTATTTAAAAAAAATAGGCAAAACTTTATTTTGGTAGTCTAAATACCTCAAATGCATCTTGTGAAAAATTAATGTTTTCAATCTAATAAAGAATATATATCACTCAATGATTCTTTCATAATTACAAGCCTATGAGTGTAAGTCTTATCCCGTTAGGTGGTATTATATCAACAATCATGAGATTAATAAAATGGATTTAATTGTAAAGTACATCCACTTCCCCAGTGGCTTCCATGTTTCAGGTCTTAAAAGCATTATTTCTTTTTATTGCCTTTGAGGAAGCGGTATTTTACTGACAGGAAGAGGTATTTTACTGATTTGTCAAGACAGAGGTAGAGCTGCTGAGATTACCGATAGGACACTGAGTACCCAGATACTCACCTCCTTATAAAATAAACAGATAGATAATGCAAAGATATAGAAACCCTGTATCAATCTGCATCTGCTTATTCACATACCTTGTTTTCTTGACCTGAATGCTGCTACTGAGTTTCTCCAGCACATATTCACCAGTGTCGTGATTAATGATAAGTACACAGTCTTTCTGATAAGGTCGTTTGTTCCCCTTGAACACAGTCATTGGTGGTGTAGATCCCTAAATTCCACAAAAGTAGAAGACAATCAAACTAGACACACCAGTTATGAATATCAGAATTGAACTTACAAATAACTATCTCATCAAATCTTTTATCAGAGCTACTCAAATAGAACAGAATAAACGGATTTCTATTTTAATTCCTCTGGCTTCCTAGGCAAAAAGAAAGGGGAAATAATAATATAGCAAGAATCTGTAACTGTGCAACTGCTTCTCAGTAATCGAGAAAGGTAATACAAATTTGCAAAATTACTGTACCTTTTTGAGTCCTTAGAAATAATGGCAAGGTGTGAACTGATAAAAATAATTAGCCATTACTCAGTATTATACTGAGTAGAACTTTCACTAGGAAAGTAAAACCAGTAAGTGATCGCGGTATTTCCTTGTAATTTCAGAGTCCAGGGCTTCCCCTCAGGCCAAGCAACCAACACAGCATTCTCTAAGGGCAGCTCATTTTTCTGCTTGGCTCAGAGTAAGTACATCAATGCCACTCATCTGCCTAAGCCCTTCAACTGCTACCCTGCTGCTCTGAGACCAAAGCATAAAATCTTTAAACCAGACACCTGGCCCTTCTGCCTCACCCTGTACCACTCAGCCCTCGGCTCTGCGGAATCCAGAGCAGAAGGTGGCTGGCCTCTCAGATTCTCAAGCTCTTTCTTGCAGGGCTTTACCCAAGGCTTCTTTCTGCCTGCAACATCCTGTTCCTTCTTGTTCAATTACTCAACCTTCAAATCTGCTCAAAGGTCACTTCCTTAGAGAAGCCTTCCCTGATTTTCTAAAATGCTGTTTTTATATTTTTTAATTCTAGACCATAAGCTCCCCAAGGGCAAGAAATATGCTTGTGTTGCTTAAGATTGTATTCTCAGTGCTTAGTAATGGGCCAGCACACAGTAGGTGCTCAATTAATATTTGACATAAATAAATAAATAAAAATTAGTATTTGACAAGTATAGGATTTAATCCCTTGTATAGAATCAAAAACTGCTTGGTTCTTTGACTCCCTATTCATAGGGTAAAAACTTAAAGAGTTGGAAGGGACCTTGGAGACCATTTATCTAACCCCTTCATTTTACATTTGGCAAATGAAGATCCAAAGGGAGATGATGTAACCTGCCAAAGGCAACAAGTAATGAAATGGCAGTTGGAACTGGCAGACAAGCAATTGTTCCTCAACGTGAAGCTTCTTGTCCAGAGCCTTTTCATTCTATCACTGGTTACCAAGACCTTATTATGTTCCAGCACAGGACTGTGACATGCAATGACACATGTTCATTAAGAGCGCATTGTTTGATCCTTTAAGCTTTCTGATTACAGTGTTGCCTTGGGCAAAGCTTCAAAAATATCTCTCTGCAAGGGATCTCAATTTAGCTTTTAACTGGGTTCCTCATCTCTAAATTAGCTGACTGCTCTGATCCTCTGGTTCTTGCTTGAAACTTTCAGCTTACACTTCACCTTTTGCCAGATGGATAAAATATGTCAATCCTGCTACTGCCTGCCTTAACTCATGCCTTGCCTGTGCCACACTCCTAAACAGTTGTTGCTATAAATCAACAGGGCATCTAGGGCTTCGCAATTTGAAAAAAAAAAAAAAAAAAAAAAAGCTATGCAGATCTAAAAGAGCGGCTAGGTATCCAGATAAGAACATTGTCTACTTTGTAGCAAATGGGAGAAAAGGGAGCTTGGGGAAAATGGCCAAGAATCATTTTTACTCAAGCACCTGGGAAGCATGAATTCCAACCTACCCCACCCCCAAAATTCCTTTTTCCCTTATGCTGGAACTTTAGAAATCTAGAGGTTTTTAAATAGTAGGAAATTCAAATGGCAATAAATAGAATATGAGGATTCACTGCGATTCCACAGTGTATAAACTTACGGGGATATGTGGCAGTGTAATTGTGACTTCATCTCCTTTGCCAACCTGAAGCTCTCCTTCACAAGAAGTATCTATAGATGCTGGCTTAAAGTCATCTAAAGGGAAAAGCAAAAGAGCATTTATCCACCATGTTACTTATACTAAGCCTCCTGGGCATTCTTATTTAAAAATTTAAATTTTTTTGTTACTCCAGATAAATGGAAAATACAAATTTAGAATTAGAAAAAAAAAAAACCTATTTCATTGTGGAAAACCCTGCATATACAAAAACGAAGAGAACAGTACAATGAGCCCCTGTGTACTATCACCCAACCTCAATAATTACCAACTCAGGGACAATCTTGTTTTATCTATACCTCCCACATACTTTTCCTCCCAACCCCACTGGATTATTTTGAAGAATAAAAAAGCTAGAACTCATATACCATTTCATTAAGCAAAGATGCTCCCTTCTCCCAAGTGACAGATGAAAATTAATGCCTTATTATCGGTAAGGTGTTTTATCAGGGTTCTTGTGGACCGGATCAAAAGCAACAGAGCATATTAAGAAGATTCTGTGATTGTTAAACCCTATATGAAACATGAAGGGCCATGGTACCACATAAGCTGATTTCATTTTGCACAGAAACTCAAAATTAGGATTTGCCACACTCAAGTTCCACAGCTTTAACAAAAATACTCTTGTGAAAGTACAGATGGTTGAACTGACCTCCATAGGTTAATCCTGCCCATATCTCTCAACTGCTGCTGAAGTACAACATGAACAGCCATCTTACTCCATTCTGACATACACTGGCCTCAAACTGCAGGTCAGGTGCATATGTGAAGCGTCCCAAATTCCACACTGCCCTTCACGCTACGAAACCATCAACTTAGGAAACTACTCAGGAAATGATGCTCTTATCACATTCCCAATATCCTCCCTGTGAAAGAGCCTATCTGCTCTCAGTAGGAGACATAGTAATGGTATGGCAAGTGACCACAGAAAGATGGAACTTCATTATCTAACACGCCCTCTTCCAATGTGTTGAGTCACATTTATTAGCTTCTTCGACAAAAACAAGTCTCAACCAGCATTAGTACTACCAAGACGGGAAACCAGGAGCTTGTGAATCACACAGGGATGTTCAGTCAGCCCATTTTGAACAGCCAAAACTTTACCCAGGACATAGAGTGGACGTGCCCTCCCTCAACAGAGTCTGTAATCACGTAGAAAAGGAAGGTCCAGCATAATGAATGACTATTTGGACATTATGCCTCCTCTCCTCTGCTTCCAAACATAGCTCAAGCTTTAACTTATTCCAGGCTCACGAATTCTAATTTTATTCTTCACGCACATAAGACTTGGGACTGAGTTAAAGTCTGGGTTGTACAGGTGACCTCAAAAGACAGCAGAGTCAAACGAGGCACGGAAAGCCGGAGGGGGAAGACTGATGGAACGCACAGAGGATGAGGATTCTTTGGCTGCCGAGGGGATGCAGCGCAAACTCAGGGTGACCACAACAAAGACGAACGAGGAAAGAAGGCTAAGAAAGACAGGGGAGAAGAGGAGGGAGTCGATGAGACTCCTGAGCAAACGGGAAGAGTCCTTCAAACGTGGAGGACCCTGTAGGGTCGTCGGAAAGGGGGATGGATTAGACGGAGAACTGGAGTCTGACGTGGGGTCACAGCCTTTCGGTAATAAAGAGGGGTAAGTTTCGCATGAGGAAGGGCTGGGTGGGCGGACGAAAAAGGGGCCAAGAGCCTTCGGAAGAAGTATGTGGGATCACAAGACAGAAGAATAGTTGGGAGTGGCGAAAGGTTTGGTTTGGGAGTGAGCTGGAAGCGGGGGGGCGGAGATCGAGGTCCCGGGAGGATCTTGGGGTAAGAGAGAAGGGAGCTGACGTAGGCAGGGGTTCCAGGGCTTTGGAGGGCCGCGGGAAGAGGAAGGAGTCGGGATGGCAAGAGGAGGAAGCAGCGGCCGAAGGGAACAGAGGGAAGCTCTGGCTTACAGCGAATGGTGTGGAAAGAGGCCCGTGGCCGCTTCTCGAAGCTCTCCCCGAGCCGCAAGCAATGCTCCTCGCGGTCCAGCAGCGGGTTCGCTGTCCCGTTCATGGCCCCGCACGAGCCTCGCGCGCGGACCAGCACTCTCCTGGCGCGGCCGCGGCCCCGGCTTCCCGCGCCAGCGTCCGGGGGAACGACGCTCCCTGGACAGCGCTCCGGAGCGCACCGCGAGCCCAGCCGGCGGCCACCCGGGGCCGGAAGCAGATCTTCTCCGCGGCGGGGTGGGGGAGGACTGCGCGGAAGCAGGGCCGCGGGACTTCCGGCGTCGGGGAGGGACCTCTCAGTTCGTGGCGGAAATGGCGGGGGCGGTGCCATGGCAAAGGATTCCTCCGGGAGAGGTCCTCGAGGCGAGTGTGTCCCCGCGCGGCGGCTCCCCGACTCGGCTTCCGAGGCCGGGCCCGGGCTGAGGGTTGAGTGCGTCCGGCCCTACCCGTCCAGGTGAATGTAAGAACTGATGACGGTGAGCCCGAGCGCGGCGAACTAGATGAACAGGGGCCCGAGAGCCAGTGTGGCCGGCTCTCCGTAGACCCTGGCGGCCGGGGCGGCCTAGTTTCTCCCGAGCGCCCTGAGCGCGACGGATCCTGCCCTGCGCGTCATTAGCCTCTTCTCCTTCACGCGTTAATGGAGAAGCAAGAGCCTCAGCCCCTGGAATGAGACGCCCCCTCTGGTTCGTAAGACAGCTTCTTGCGAGTGCGATCAGAGACTCGGGCCGCAGGGCTTAGCTCCTAATCTCTCCCCCCTCAAAGTGAGTCTCTGATCCTTGGGAAACGATGACTCCACTTGACCACCCATCGCCAGTTCAAGGAGCTCTCGTGATTGTCATAAGTCGCCCCTTTCACAGGCCCTGAAAATTGATGTGTTTTCTCAGTCAATTCTTGGGCGCGTCCTTTTTCTGAACTAAACCGATATAATTGTTGACTTGTTCTGGTTTGAACTAGAGTTTGGTGCGTGAGAGTGCTGGCCACTGAATGTAAGCAAGCCTTCTGAAGGTAGGGACTATGTCTTGGTCTTTGTGACCGACCTCTTGTGTAGTGGGTCGGGTTTTGTGTAGAGTCAGAGTCTAGTAAATGGTGAATTGAACTGTTTGGTGAAAGAACTGTTCTAGAACCACTAACCCAGCGTCTTAAAAACTGTTCTAGGGCGCCTGGGTGGCTCAGTTGGTTAAGCGACTGCCTTCGGCTCGCGTCAGGATCCTGGAGTTCCAGGATGGAGTCCCATGTCTGGCTTCAGGGAGCCTGCTTCTCCCTCTGACCACTTCCCGCCCCCACCCCCACTCTATCAAATAAATAAATAAAATCTTTAAAAAAAAAAAGCAACTGTTCTAGAACCACTAACCAGAATCTCCTCTTTTTTCCTGCAAAAGCGTCCAATGCTGCCTGAGGCTTGAACCCAGCCTGAGAAACCACACCTGAAAAACCCTGCCTCTGTCTGCAGTATCAGCTTGGATTCCTCAGGTTATTCAGGGATGGATTATCTTCAGCAGTGTTAAATATATTACCATCAATTTAGGAGATGGCTTCTTTGCAAAGGAAAGGGCTGCAGGCTAGGATTCTCAGCTCTGAAGAAGAGGAGAAACTGAAAAGAGATCAAGCTTTGGTGTCTGATTTTAAGCAGCAAAAACTGGAAAAAGAGGCTCAGAAGAACTGGGACCTTTTTTACAAAAGAAATAGTACTAATTTCTTCAAAGACAGACACTGGACCACCAGAGAGTTTGAAGAGCTCAGATCATGTAGAGAGGTAAACTGATACTGCACCTTATTTGAGTTGTTTTTCATTTAAAATGTGAAGAGGAGTGTTTATTGCATTCCTGTGGGGAATGTGAGGTAGAAAATTTACGAAGCCTGTCAAAATGCCTTGTTCCTTAGAAATACACTGGTTGTAAGCAGTTTGCTAGTTCCTGGGTTATATAATCCATAGGAAAGAGAGCTTTAGTAGACATTTTTTTTTATTTCTCAAAGCCAGTCTGAAAGTCGTAAATATTAATTTCATACTGGGTGACTTCAGTGACAGATGCAGCTTCATAATAAAGATGATTAACACTTTACCATGGCCCTTTTCTAGAACTTTACGTGTGTTCTGTAACTTAAGCCTTATAACACTGTTGAGGTAGGCATCATGATTATCCCCACTTGCTGGTAGAAGTGAGGCACAAAGCTGTCTAAGTGATTTGTCCAGTGATAGAACATGGGTGAAAGGAGAGATTTGAGTGCAAGCAGTTTAGTCCCAGAGCCTGTTCTGTTACCTGTTCGGCTGTGTTTTCACCATACCAAACTACCCAATGTTGGACAAGTGAGGTGTCAATGTTAGCTTTAGGTTATCAGTTCACTTGTTTATTGTGGGCTTCCTGGGGGCAGAGACTTTGTCTCTCATGTTCTAAGACATAGTTTGCTTTGTTTCTCTGTGACGCAGATGTAGCATACTATGATTTTGGGTTCTCTTTCCTCAGTTTGAAGATCAAAAATTGACTATACTTGAAGCTGGCTGCGGTGTCGGGAACTGTTTATTCCCACTGTTAGAAGATCTGAATATCTTTGCCTACGCCTGTGATTTTTCTCCAAGAGCAGTTGAATATGTCAAGGTTGGTGCTCCATCCATGTATTCTGTTGTGTTGCTATTTTCTTAGATTTCTCGGACCTGTGCTCTCTACCCATTTGCCTAATTCCTGTCCTCTCTTTGAAGCTAACCAGCTGTGATCACCATGAATGTGTTTTTCCTGTTTACATACAAATATAGTACCTACCAGAACATAGCTTTATTCAGAAAAGTAGAAAGAATTACCAAAATGACACCTAGATACTTACACCCAGATTTACTGATTGCCAGCATTTCACCACATTTGCTTTTATAGACTTACGTCTTTGCTGAACTATTTTAAAGATTTTACTTATTTATTTATTTAGAGAGAGCGCACACGCCCACACCAGTGGGGGAGGGACAGAGGGAGAGAGAGCTTAAGCAGACTCTGTGCTGAGTGCAGAGCACTACGAGGGGCTTGATCTCAGTGACCCTGGATCATGATCTGAGCTGAAATCAAGAGTTGGACACCTAACTGACTGAGCCACCGAGGTGCTCCTGCTTAACTATTTTAAAGTATAGATGTCACGACACTTTTCTCCTAAATATGTCTTCCTACATATTCAAAAAAATAAGAGTTTTTGCTGTATGAGTGCAATACACTTATTATTATATTTAACAAAAGTAACTGTAATCCCCTAATGTCATTAGTACCCACTACAGATTCAGATTTACTCAAATAGTCCCAGGTGTCAAGGACTACATCTTGTACTTCTTAATGTACCTTAAATCTCAGCCTAAAACATTCCTGCCCTTCCCCTTGACCTTTTCTCCACTGGCATTGAATTTTTGAAGAGCAAGCCATTTTCTATAGTGTGGTCCCACATTCCAAATTGGTCTCATTGTTTATTCGTATCCTTGTTCAACTTGTTTCTTTATGCCCTGTATTTCCTGTAAACTAGAAGTTAGATTTAAATCAGGTAAAATATTTTTGGCAAAAATACTATAATAGGTGATGTTGTATCTTTGATATTACATCCTGTCCGGAGGCATTAGTGTCTGGTAACCTCACTGTTAGTGATGCTAGCTTTAGTTTTGATCACTGGGTTAAGGTGGTAACTACTTAGTTCCTACCTAAAAGGTACCTTCCTAAGGGTTACAAATACTTACCTTTTGCCGTTAACAAATATGTGGGGGGTATGTCGGCAAATTCCTAATTTTCCATCAACCTTTCACAGTTTTAGCATCCATTAGAAGTTTTGTTGTTGTTGTTTTTAAAGATTTTCTTTATGTACTTATTTTAGAGAGAAAGAAAGTGTACAGGGAAGGGTGAGGGCAGAGGCAGATGAGGAAGGAGAGGGACAAGCTGACTTCACACTGAGCATGGAGCCAGGTGTGTTACTAATCCCATGACCCCCAAAGATCATGACTTGAGCCAAAATCAAGAGTCAGACACTCAACCAACTGAGCCACCGAGGCTCCCCTAGAAGTTTTTTTAATAGTAGCATCACATTGTACTATAACTTGCTTTCTTCACTCCACATCTTATCTTGTAGAGTTTATCTTAGTACATGTAGGTCTACCATATTATATCTGTTGTAGTATTCCATAGGATGGATATACCATACTTAACCATTACCCTGTTGATGTTTGTTTAAATCACTTCTAATTTTTCACTCTTACAAATAGGGTTAATGTAATAAGCATTATGCACTGCTCCGCAAAACACGTGTGTACCCTTTTCTGTATGGGGATGGAAGAATTCCTTGGAGAGAAAGCATACACATTTAAGTTTTAATATTTCAAATATATATTTTAAAATTTAATATATATAAGTTTTAACATATAGCTACCATTCTGTCTACGCCCTCCCCATTTTTTTTTTAATTTTATTTATTTGACAGTGTACAGGCACAAGTGGAGGTAGGGGGGCGTGGAGGCGGAGAAGAAGCAGGCTCCCCACTGAGGGGGGGGGCGGCAAGGAGTAGGGCTCAATCCCGGCACCCTGAGATCATAACCTGAGCTGTAAGACAGATGCTTAAACGACTGAGCAGTTCAGGTGCCCCCACCCTCGCCATTTGCTATCAGTCTTTTTTATATCTCCCAATCTTATGGGCAAAAAGTAATACTCCATATTTTAATTTGTTTATTCCTTACATATGTAAATAAGCATTAGTTTTCCTTCTGATCGTGCGTTCCCTTATTCCACATATATTTATCAAGAGCCTCATATATGCCAGTTCTATGCACTGGGATTAAGTAGTAAACAAAACACAAAAGAACCTTCAGGTGGAGTTTGCATTATATAGTATGAATTGTCTGTTCATAACCTTTGCTCGTTTTTCTGTCATTTTCTTTAGAGTGTATTCTGAATATTCTGTTAGATTTTTTTGCAGACATTCTAGTTAGCATTTATGCTATTGTTTTTTCACAGAATCTAAATTATGTGCAAATTTATTAATCTTTTCCTTTCAAGGTTCTAAGGTTTTCTGTCTGGTTTAGGAGTTCTGTAACTATTTTTTTTTAAGTTTTGGTTATTATGTTTTTTAATTAGTCTGGAAAAATTTTGGCCATTATTTCTTCAGCTCTGTTCTCTCTTCTTCTGAGATTCTAATTACATATATTATACTACTTGCTATTGTCCTACAGCTCTTGTATGGTGTTTTGGGGTTTTTTGTTTTTTTTTTTAAGCTTTTTTTTTTCCTCTTTGCATTTTCAGTTTGTATTATTGCTTTCATCCTGATTATCATCAAGCTCACGGATTCCTTCTTAAGCAGCAAGCTTTGATGAGCGTTTCAGAAGCATTCTTCATTTTTGTTACTGTTTCGGGTTTTCAGTAGGTGTAGTTGATTCTTTTTGTAGTTTCTGTTTCTCTGCTGAAATTACCTATCTGATCTTGAATTTTGTCTTTTTCATTAGAGTCTTTAACGTATTAATCAGTTATTTTCAATGCCCAAACTTTTAATTCCTCTATCTATGTCATATTTGAGTCTGGTTCTGATGATTACTTTGTCTCTTCAGACTGTTTTTTCTTGCCTTTTGGTATGCCTTGTAGTTTTTTGCTGAAAGCCAGATATGTTATATAGGGCGGTGGATACTGAGGTAATAAGGATTTGTAATAATCTAGACAGGAGTTGAGCAGTGTTTGAAATCTGTTGCTATAGTTACCTGTGAGGTTTGTTGTTATGGACACCAGAGACTTCAGACTCCTCTGGTGACTTGGTTCATGGCTCCCCTTTTGACTTTGTGTCTTCTCTTTGTACCGTCGCTCTTGCAGCTTTCCCACCTGCAGTGCACTGTGGTTATTAGCACTGGACACTTGCTGGTAAGGTGTGAGAGAAGGGATTGTTATCTAATGCTCTGATTCTCAGTTTCTGGACTGCGTAGTGCGCCCATGTCTCAGGAGTGTGGTCTTCACAAGTATGTCTGCTGCTCCAGGACTAGAGCTTTTCTCTCCCTTCCCTCCCTCAGGAGGTATGTACCGGTGTCCTCCTTTCTGGTGTTGCGGCCATTCTCTCTTCAGATTAAGACTAGGTTTGGGGCACCTGGCTGGCTCAGTCAGAAGAGCATACAGCTCCTGATCCTGGGGTTGTGAGTTTGAGCCCCACATTGGGTGTAGAGAGTACTAAAAAAAAAAAAATTAAAACTAGGTCTGAGCAGAGTAGTTTCCTTCCCCCAGTGGCAGTGGTATTCCACCAGTACCCTAAGTCTAAAATGACCTTTCCCCTGCATTTTAAATCTTTTCTTCCTTAAAGGAGATGAGAAAGGCCAGCACCAAGGTGAAGCACCATCCTCTCTGTGAGAGTCCCATGATGTTCCTAGAGGAAACACCCACAAAAGGATGGGAATACCCCTATTAATTCAGCCCCCAGGGGCTTCACACACACTATAACATCTGTACTGAGTCTCCAGCAATTTGTCAAATTTCTAGTTTTGTCTTTCCAGCCTGGAGGCTTCTGCCTCAGGTAAGCAAATGCCTAGGTCCTGTCTTTCCTGGAAGGCACTTGTCCGTCTCCATATTTTGGGGTAGCTGGTGGTTTTTTGGCCTCTGTTCTTTGATAGGTTCACAAAAAAATCATTACTTTGCTCTCTGTCCACCGTTTTTCTTATTAGGATGGGAGCTACAGTTTTATACCTCTATACATCTTTGAACTGAAACCAGAAGACCTCTGATTCATCTGGGTAACCAATCATCCTTTAACACAAGTATAGAACTAGTTGTTCAAACACAATAAATTGAATAAGAAATTCATTTTTCTTCCCTGACAATTGTCACCTTTATTATCTACGTTTTTTGCTATATTTGTCACCTGTCGTTTGTCATATGCAATACTAAATTCCTCTATATAGAGGGCGTCTGTTTTGGGGACTCTGTTCTGTCTCAGTGATTTATTTGTCCCCATTCTCAAACCTCATTGTTTTATTTATTGATTGATTTTTAAGATTATTTATTTATTTGACAGAGAGAGACACAGTGAGAGAGGGAACACAAGCAGGGGGAGTGGGAGAGGGAGAAGCAGGCTTCCCACTGAGCAGGGAGCCCCATGCGGGGCTCGATCCCAGGACCCTGGGACCATGACCTGAGCCAAAGGCAGACGCTTAATGGCTGAGCCACCAGGTGCCCGAAATCTCATTGTTTTAGTACTACATTTTGTAATATGTTTTGATGTCAGTAGTGTACCTCCTCCTTCATTGTTCTTCAATTTAATAATTGACTTGGCTCTTCCTCAAGATTTTTGCTTCCAGGTGAATTAAAATTTGCCTTGTCAAGTTTCTAGAAATCCATTGGGATTCTGTTGAGATCACACTGGATTTAGAAGTGGAATTATAGGTGGAATTGACATCATTTCAATATTGAATCTTCCCATCCAGTACCTTTGTATCTGTGTTTGAACTACAGAAAAGATTAATATTTTTTATGGTGCTCTTATAATGATTTATACTTTATGATCTCTTTCTTTATGATACTCTTACATATTACCTTTTCTTGTAATGCTCTTAAACCCACCATCCACCATGTACAGGAACACTTGTGGCAGAAAAAAAAAGAAAAGAAAAGTTAGGTTTACTTACCTTGCTGCCTCAAGGGAAAATATGCCCCAAAGAACTATGGGAGCATCTTGCATGAGTGGATTTGGAAGGACCTCTCAGAGGATTTAGACTTGTAGTGGGTGACTCAGAGGAGGATTAAGGAAGCCCAGGTCAGTTTTGAATTATCATTCCTTTAGAAATACGTACTTCTAGAATGCTCAGCTTTGAATATGTGATAGCTTGTGTTCTCTTCTCAGTTAAAGATGATTTGTTAAAATGAAATCTTGCTCCTCATAGCAATATTGAATACTACATGCTTTAGTGTACAGATGCTGCATTACTCAGTTTTACTCAATAATAAAGTGATCTTTGATATTTGTGCAGCAGTGCACAAGTGGAAGTAGGATCTCCTTTTTTTTTCCATTGGATCTCTTTTTGATGCTGTATTTTTCTATGTGTGTCAACATGGATGTTGCATTAAAATTCTTTTTTCTCCCCCCCTTCTTTAGCAAAATCCTTTATATGACACAGAAAGATGCAAGGTGTTCCAGTGTGATCTCACCAAAGATGACCTTCTGGAACATGTGCCCCCAGAGTCTGTGGATGTTGTCATGTTGGTATTTGTACTCTCTGCCGTTCACCCTGATAAGATGCACCTTGTCTTACAAAATATTTACCAGGTTAGTGATTTGGAGCCGAGAGGTTGGACATCCTGATCTTTTTGCTTACCTCCCCTCTGAGGCTCGTGTCTAGATTCGCAGAGTCTCCTCATTCCCACTAGGTATAGGCCCTGTAGTCAGTGTATGGAAAGGGGTTCTCCTACATCAAACATTCACCCTAAATTCTGATCTGTCTGGTAGCCATCACTGCTCTTCAGACCTTGGCCTGCCTTGGAGCAAGGATGATTTTGCAATTATCTGGGCTCTATGCATGGAATAACATGCAGATAGTCCCTGCTGTAAAGTGAGGGGAGGGTATGGTTCGGTGGTCAAAAAGCACCTGGCGTCAGAGTGCCTAGAGACAAGACCTGGCTTCCCTGCTTAAACAAGTTCCTTTACCTCCCTGAGCCTCAGTTTCATTACCTATAGAATATTGAGATACTAGATTGCATGAAATATATGAAATACGTATAAAGTGCTTAGCACAGTGTCTAGAACATGGTAAGGGCTCTTTAAAAGTCAGCCATTGTTGTTACTATTATCATTACTAGAATGGGGAGAACCCAAACTGGCCATCAGGAGGCTGCTGTAGCACTCAGGAAGTAAAGCGACACTCTGAAGTCATGTGACTCAAGACAAATCAACACCTTCTTCCTTGGGCTTTAGTTTCCTTGGCTGTAAAATGGGGGTGTCTCTCGGAGTTGCAGGTGAGATCATGAATGAAGCTGCTTTGTAAACTACAGTAGAATTTCTCTTACATCTATGGCAACAGTGTTGATGCATTTAAAGATCAACTAAATCAAGAAATTGTAAAAAAAAAAAGGTACATTCTTACCTTAAACATTTTATTATAACTTAAAATATATTAATATTCATTTGTTACTCTTTTGATATAGAGCCACAGCCTTTTCTTTGAGTAGGGGCCTGTTTATCATCTTTCTTATATAAACCACACATATAGTAGAGTTTTGGTTTCCTGAAAGCAGAGTGAAGGGTGCCTGGGTGGCTCAGTTGGTTAAGCGTCTGCCTTTGCCTCAGGTTGTGATCCCTGGGTCCTGGGATTGAGCCCCAAGTTGGGCTCCCAGCTCAGCAGAGTCTGCTTCTCCCCCTGCCCCTCCCCCTGCTTATGCTCTCTCTCTCTCTCAAATAAATAAATAAATAAATAAATAAAATCTTAAAAATGGAGTGAAGACTTAAAAACAATTGGAAAGTAATGTGAGGGCAGATTCTTTTATATTTTTACGCAGACTTCTCCTTGCTTCTCCCACACCTAATTAGATACAGTTTGTCCAGTGCTTCTTTATCAAGTCTTTCCAAAAGTATTGAATGTACTTTTCATAGGAAACAAAATGCTCATTTTTTGCATATTGCATTGTTTATGTACTCGTATATAATTCTAAATCTAAGTACAGTTGGCATAAGCAAGTTTGGGAACCAACACGGGTGACCCGAGGTAAGCACGCAGCTCACCTGGCGGCCACTAAAGCACAAGGGCACACAGCCTAGAAAGCCTGTAAGCCTCACCTGCTTCGTGAGTCAGGGGCTTCAGTCAGTCTGCTTTGTAAAGGGAGAAAAGAGCAGTTGGCAGGTTGAAAAAGTAGATGTTTTAAATGTTTTTTAAGAAATTCAGATATTGCTACGTTGGTTTCAGCTCTCTGTGAGGTTTTGCAAAGTTTTTTTCTCCTTACTTCCCCTTTCCCTGCCCATGGTATCTGAGCAGATGAGAACCCAGCGTGTCCCCACAAATGGGCACGGAACTGAAGCTGGGTGAAGAGGGAGGAGAGGGCATCAGGGAAGAAAAGGTAGGATCACCTGATTTGACGGTCCAGGTGAGGGCAAAGGATGATTAAAGATGGGGAACTAGAGAGAGAGCTGGAAAGATGGTTTTGGGGTTGGCCAGGGTGGCTGGTATAACACTGAGAGAACTGGAGAGGTTATACTTTTTGCTGTTGACAAGACTTGAGGACATTACCATGGGAGTGAGTGGTCTAGGAGGGTGGAGGACAAGGTCTAGGAAGAGAGAAGCCCAAGTCATTAAGAGGCCAGCATATTTGGAAGGACAATCTGTGTATATTGAAATTGCTCATGAGAACTAAGAATGGAGTAGTATTAAGGGCCGGAGAATAAACCAGAGGATATGTTCGATCATGAAACAGGGATACGACCTTGGAACTAATAGATGACAGGAACATTAAGGGATAGCAGACGGTATAATCTGATGACAAGAGATTCAGGGCCAGGGGGTTTAGGGAGGAGAGAGAGTACACGAGAAAGTAGCAGTGAGAAGCATGGAGGGCGCCAACATCATGTCCAAGCCCAGTGGTACAGGGGTGAGTGGAGAACACACAGCCCTGACTTGAGAGGTTTCGGGGAACATAGTGTCCTCAGGGGACAGTCTGTTAGCACAAGAATCTGAAGGAACATTCAAAAGAGGTGGATAGCAGTGATTTCACTGGTGAAGGGTTTCAGGGATTGGGGAGAAGTAGGAGACAGGGACAGAATAAGGAGTATCTAGAACTTCATGGGAGTGAGAGTGCCTACTGTCAGTACTTCTTTTCAGCATTACACTGGAGGTCCTAATCAGCTCAAAAAGACAAGAAAAAAAAAGATGGGGAAAAAATGAGGGTTAGAGACAAAATTCATTATTTGCATATAATGTAATTGTCTAATTAGAAAATATTAAAATACTAAAAAAGTATAAGATGAATGTAATATGTCACTGAGCTAGACACCTAAAAAAGAGTAACATGCATTGTGCAATTTTGCTTTTCCATTTAATATTATACGTTTCATTTATTTTTTTGTTTGATTGTTTCAGGGTTTTTTGGTAGGGTGTTTTGTTTTGTTTTGTTTTGTCCCTGAGGAAATTGACAAGCTGATTCTAAGTTTACATGAAAGAGCAAAGGGTCAGAACACTCCTGAAGAAGAATGACATGGGAGATACAAGGACTTACTGCTGCAGTAATTAAGACAGAATGCTATTCTGTGGGACAGACAAATTGAATGTGATAGCTTAAAAATCTATCCATGCATAAATGGAAATCTGCTATATGATGGAGGTGACAATGACAATCACTGGGAAAAGGAGGACTGTTGAGTGAGTGCTGCTAGGACCAGAGTGTTCATGCAGAAGAGAGTGGAATTATCCTCCTCACATCCTCTACAAAAATCATTCTCACGGGGCGCCTGGGTGGCTCAGTCGGTTAAGCGTCTGCCTTCAGCTCAGGTCATGACCCCAGGGTCCTGGGATCGAGCCCCACATTGGGCTCCCTGCTCCGCGGGAAGCCTGCTTCTCCCTCTCCCACTCCCCCTGCTTGTGTTCCCTCTCTCGCTGTCTCTCTCTCTGTCAAATAAATAAATAAAATTAAAAAAAAAAAACCAAAAACATTCTCAGGTGAATTGAAGAATTAAATGGAAATGATAAAAGTTTAAGCCTTTCAGAAGAAAATACAGGAAAGAATCTTTATCACCTCCGAGTGGGGAAAATTTTCTCAAGACACAAAGCATTCTAAGCATAAACATGGTAATAAAAGTAGGAGTTTCTGTTCTTCAAAAGACAATATAATACAAAGGAATTTAAAAACAACTTGGGGAAAGTAATTTGAAGTCTGTAGACCTGAATATGTGAGGAATTCCTGTGTAAGAAAGACAAGCAAATTAATAGAAGAATGGCAGACTTCAATAGTGGTTTTACTGAAGAGAACATACATATGAAAAGATAACCCAGCAAGTGTAAAATAAAACCCCAGTAAGACACCGTTAGATTACCAAAATTAGGAAGTCTGACAAAGCCAAGTATTGATGAGGATATGCCTGTTCTTGATTTAAATGGAAACATACACTATACTATCTGTATTTTAATAGTAATGAAATGTTATATGTATTGTTTTAATTGAGTTGAGCTGTCTCAGTCCACACTTGGCCCCCAGCCCCCGTTCTAACCTTTCTTGAGTAACAGATTCCATTTTAGCAATCCTTTCTATTTTTACCCCCTAATAGAAATCTTTCTGCTGATCTGGAATGAGTTCACAGCAGTAGTGGATTGCCGGCTCTCTGCCTCATACATAGTGACTGGCTCGTTGATTTGAAATCATGTGCTTCATCAGGAAATTACCAGAAGGAGAAGTGATCTCTCAGCCTCTGACAATAATAAGACACCCTTTGGGCAGCTCGAAGACTTATGTGAACAACCACAGTAATAAACTGTTGTAAGGTAGATGTAATTACTGTAGAATGTTAACAGCAGAGAATTTTTTAAACTACATAAGTTTAAACTGAAAGACAACCTTAAAGTTGAATTCCCTCATTTTTGGAGTAGAATAATCAAGTAAAAATAGACAAAATTTGTCATCAGACGACCTGGCTATTTGTCTACCAATGCCACCAACTTGCCTTGAAACCTCAGGCAAGTCACTTTTACTCTGAGCCTTACTTGCTGTAAAATGGGTATAATAGACCTACCCTACCCTACTACTCAGAGTTGTTTGGAGAATGAAAGAAAATAACGGTGAGAAAAGCCTGGTTAGCTATACAGTGCCAGGATAAAAGGAGGCATTAGTATTGAACTTACTATTTTACAGACGAGAAAACACAGGGATGAAATTACTTGTTCAAGGTCATTCAACTAGTTAGGGAAGAACTGGGATATGAATCAAGATTTCCAAATTCCTGAGTGTTCTTTCTGCTGTCCCATGTAGCCCTTCCTTCTATAATGAAGAATAAGTCTTCTTCATATAAATTAAATTTTTCAGAATTTTCTTGGCAATTACTCACATTTTTTAAAACTTAGCATTTCGGACTAAGCTAAGGTAGGATGTATTCATCCAGGAGGCTCTTTACGGACAATATTTAAAATGCATATTTGTATTGATAGAATTTACTAAATGAGAAAATCTGCGGCACACTTGGAAGTATTAGGGACGATCTTTCATACTCTATTCAGAAGAGGAAGTATGTCAAACTGCATCAGAAATCTATTGTGATAGTATATGTCATGTCTTAAAAATATCTTACTGATGTTGATGAATCAGAATAAGATTCTGTAAAGTCCACTCTTACTTGGTAGTGTTAATGCAGTTTGAAAGAATTCTCACATAAAAAGTAAATGTCACAGTGTGTGCCACTTTCTTTTTATTCTGAAAAGCATATGCTGTTTGCTTTGTAAGATAGAGCCGTTTATACCCACACCCTGCTGATGCCACCTCCCAGTTTTTTGAGACACCTAACCTGTGACACCTATCTCCGAAAGGCTTTAGTGAGGGACTCCCAGTTGGGCCTGCCGCTGAGCCCCTTTCCTACACCACTGCACTGGCCTGAGGATCTTCTACCAAGAAGCACAGCACAAGGGAAGAATACTCAGTTACCACCACCCCCCAGCCTCTCTTTCTTGTCAGTAATGTGAATAGAATTAGAATAACACCTCCCCCTTCCCCCACCCTCATCCAGGTTCAGGGCGAACAGATGTCTCTGATTCTACAATATGCTGCCTTTTGACCCAAACACGAGTCTTGACGCCCCCACTTAGTGGCCAGTGTATGAATCGTGGACAAATCACTTACATAGTTTCCTCATCTCACATGAGGCTAATCATCACTCCTTCCTCCCTCCTGTCTGAGAAACTGCAGCGTGCTCTCAGCTGTTATTAGCGTGGTGGGCAAGCTGTGCAGAACTGTAGCACAGTGAACCCTGCGCTGAGACTCAGAATGAGGAGAGCCAGCCAGAATCAGTAAGAAGACAAAATGACGTATTTTTTTAAAGAGACAGTTTGCCGGGTCATATACTAGGAGATGGCTAATAAAATGTTGGGAGAACATGCTTTAAAGAAGATAAGACTGTTTCATTTAGTGTCAGTAGCATTTTAATTGTATGACACTGGACCTTGTAAGTGCTCGAGAAATATCCCTCCGATCTATGGGGTCCTGTAGGTGTTGCTATACCTTTGATCAGGCGGCCCTTTTTCCTTCAAACTATGGGTCGTTCAGTCTGGTTCTTTTCATATTTATCACTAATGTAAGTTATTTTGATCCCTAAATCAATCAGATTTTATTTTGAGTAAGTTTTATTTGAGCCGTCAATATAAGTGCCACCTGCTTTTGTTTCATAGGTATTGAAACCAGGCAAAAGCATCTTGTTTCGTGACTATGGGCTGTATGATCATGCCATGCTTAGGTTTAAAGCTGGCAGCAAACTTGGGGAAAACTTTTACGCTAGACAAGATGGAACCAGATCATATTTTTTTACTGATGGTAAGGTTAATGAAATTTGCTTTTATTTCTGTTTACTTGCTTGCATTATCACTGTGGTACTGGTTGGGGGTGGGGGCAGCAACACAGAGGGCACATGCACAAGGTCCTGGCTGGAACCATCTCTGGGGCACACCACTCACCCAGCACCTGGGATGACAGGGACACAGCTCTGACCATGCTGAGCTCACAGGCCTCCTCTGGTGACTGTCTTGTCAGCGAGCCTGGGTTAATGGACAGGCTCTGGCATGCCACGTGTATACTCTGCCAGGAACCGTGCTGGAAAAGGGGGAGGGCAAAGCAGGATCATCACTTCAGTCACACAACAAGTAGAGCAGGGGCAAGCTGGCTGGCTCAGTTGGAAGAGCATGCAACTCTTGATCTCAGGGTCATGAGTTCAAGCCCCATGTTGCATGTAGAGATTACTTAAAAAAAAATAACACACACACACACATAACACACACAAGTAGGACTATATATTGCCTGGAGATTACCTTCCCAGGTCACAAAGGCAAGAAACCTTTGTCTGTAAAGGTGTTAAGTACACAAATTTGCTATAAAAGGGTCTTTCAAAAGTCATTTTGATAAAAACATCCAAACACTGATCATTATTTTGGTCTTACACGAAAATAATTTTAAGCCTACCTAGTAATTTGGACCATAAAATAATTATCTTCTTAAACTATTTTCACAGACATTTCCATGTCTTGAAATATTCTTTTGGGTTTAGAATGAAATAAAAAATGAATGATTAGCATTAAAACTGCAGAGTCATAGAAATGTCAGGTGAAAAGTAAAAATTTGTTTTAATGTTTCTGATTGATAAAATCTGAGTCAACCAATTGTAAATAATTGAGAAGATGCAGTGATGTCTGCAGAGTGCTTCGGAGCACATTCTGCAGAGTAATGCTCTTACTGATAAGAGTATTTTCGCCGCATAGCCATTCTATTTGTTTCATTTAACATGTAGAGATGGATTATTGGAGTTAAATTTTCCTTAGGGTATATCACCCAAAAGTAATGGGTTTCCCTACTCTGGTCACAGATGTTCCTCCATCATGTTCAGATAGATGAGGTGTTTGATGTAAACACATTGAACACATGAAGACTTTGTATGAATATAGCCAGTTTGGAATTGTGTTTCTTTTTACTTGGACTTTGTATTTGGGGACTTATAATAAGGGGGTAAGGTGGCCGCACTCCAGGTTGTCCTTAAACTTTTCTGATTAAATTATTTAGTTGGGAGTTTCTATTTGGGAGTAAGAAGAGAAGTAGGAGTGTGTTACTTTCCAAAACAAAAATCTATTAATTTTAGCGGCGGAATTTTTGTTACATTAAAAAAAAAAAAATCCCTTCCGGCACCCCTGCCCTCCTGTTTACCACTGCAGAGCCCATGTGGTAGTATCATCGAGACCGTGAGCATTGTTGATCTGCTTGCCTTACAGAATTCCTGGCTCGGCTCTTTACGGACACAGGTTATGAAGAAGTGGTGAATGAGTATGTGTTTCGTGAGACGGTGAACAAAAAAGAAGGCCTGTGTGTGCCAAGAGTTTTCCTTCAAAGCAAATTCCGAAAGTGTCCTAAGAACCCAACTCTGGGTCACAAGTCCTGACCTTTCACGAGGTTGACATTTGTGCCTCCCCTCGAAGAGGAAAGTTTAAAGTCACTCTTTATTTTGGATATTTTTATATTTTTTTATAATGAGGACGTAATTTTTATATTAAAAAGTAGCAAGTGTCTGTGTGTGTATTATGGAAATGCAAATAAAATTGCAAGGCCTGAAAAGTGAAGTTTTACGGTATAATGTAATGTAGCCATGCTGTCTGACTAAAATTCCACGAAGGGGAAAGCATAAGCACTAAAAGAGATCCTTGCCATCGATAAATGTGCCGTGATTCAGTAAATGTGCCTCCAGGCAGCATGTCAGGCAATCCTGTGGGAAAATGAGGCCAAATAGACTAAAATAACACATCCAGATGTATTTTTAGCCTGAAGGATTGTTCTCTTTCTAGTGTCTCTCATTTGCCCATTTCTCTCTGCTTCAGTTATTTATGTGCCTCTTCAAGACCAGTGTTTCACAAATACAGCTTTTGCTATGATTCAGGAGCCCACCATGGCGCCCTGCCTAATTCCTGAGACCCTCTCTAATTGAGCCAGAACCTGGCCACACTGCCTCAGTGTGTGGAGAGAGGGGAACGCCATCACCTGTCCTCCCCATCTACCCGAGGCAGTTTCTCCAGGAATGCAGTGGATGGACCGTCCCCATCAAGGACAGTCCGGCCCCATAAAGGAAGGGGCGCAGAGTTTTCACTTGGAATATTTAAGGTTGGCGTAATGACATACTACCCACCTTGGACATTGACATTGAGCAAGGTAACCTCTCGGTGACACACTTTAAAATACGTTTGTTGTAAAGTCTACTTAATGATGTGACGTAGTCCATCAGAGTTTTAGCCTTGAGCCAATGGATTGGATTAAGAAACAAAAATAAGGCTAAGCATAATAAAAACAAGGCTTCAGTCCCACTGCCTCTGTGTCCCCCTGTTGATTCTCCCCAGGCAGACCTCTATTATTGCACCCCAGGTTAAGACAGTAGAGCAGTAGGGATTTCCATGGGTTGGGTGCCCAGGGACCCAGGGAAGCAAAGCCAGAGTTTAGTAGCAAAACTTGAACATTTGTTAAATCATAGACTACAAAGAGTCCACCAATATTGCCTTGTCTTCACAGACAGAAAGCAGCTCCAGAAAGGCAGTGAGTACTAGTTAACAGTATTATAGAAAATAGTTTAAGTACCATAATATTATATAGTAGGGTATATATACTATGTCTAGCATACATATTATACTATACAATATATATCCTATACCATATAGTACGAGGTATTTCTTTTGAGTTTTTGGTATATACTACATACAGAAATGCTAATAAAGTTGTATCACGTGATTTGGAGTTTGGAAAAGGTTCAAGTGCAGGACTATGCCCCCCCGCCAGTCACCAGCTTTTCGGAGCCTCAGCTTTCCCATCTCTTAAGGCTGAGCCCCTGTGACCTACAGGGTTGCTGCCAGTGCTAAATGAGATCATTCACTTGGGAGTGCTTTGTTAACTAAAAAGTGCCAGCCACGTGCTAGTTATTTCTATTAGTTTGTATTCCCCGTGAAAATGATCTCTCCCATTATTAAATCCTAATTCTTCCAGAAGGCTGTCTTTTTTAATCTTGGGGTCCTCAAAAGGGCCTGGGATTTGGATGTGCTGCCGCAAGGTGGCGCTAAATACTCAATAATTGCATTGGCCTTTGTTCTCATTTTAATCATGGTTCTAGCATGTCCATTTTTATTGTTGTTGAAAAGGAAGGAAAATGCTTACAAATGTGTTTCCTAGGTCAACTTAATCTCGTAAGATCAATTTTGGCCTCGCTGTGGAAATAAGAAGTAAGGATTCTTTTATCCAGCATTCAATCTACTTTACCTACTGAAGGTAGTTTGCTTTCAACTGAATTTGGGCAACATTTTAGGCAGTAGGCTCTGAACGTGTCTGCAAGGCCCCCACCCCTCTCTCATCCCTGAATGGTTCTGTGGATTCATTTTTACTGTTGCTAGGGATTAAGGCAAAGCAAAAGAAGGGACTGCAGCCTGGATACTTGTTTGCCTCACACTATTATTCATAGTTATCTTTGACAGCATTTGGTTTCCTATTTCACAGTAGTCAAGCAAGGAAGGGAAAATTGTGAAATAAATCATGTGCACCAAGAGAGTGAAACGGGATCATGTTTGCTGTTGGGGAGCCAATATTTAATATAAACTTAAATAGCCTCTGCCTCTGAAACCAAATATTCCACTAAAAATAAAATTAGTTACTTTTCACTTTTCTGCCCTCACATGTGTGGCATTTCATTAGATAGTATTTGCTAAGTACCCACTGGAAACAGGGTACTGTGGGATTGCTCTGGCTGGAGTACAGGGATAGGGAAGGAGCACAGTGTGGGTAGGGAAGCAGCCCAACCATATCTTCACTAAGCCAAAGTGTGACAGCTAAGGAAAACAAGCACAAACACTCTGAACACCAGAGGAAAGAAAAAGAGGAAGAGAAGCAATGGAAAACCTGAGGGTGGCAACCGTCACCATCACTTGGAAAGGATATTTCCACAGTTTTCAGTAGAGATGTCATATGCCCTGGTGTGGGGCATAGCCATGGAGATGAGAATGTGATTCAGAGCTCTTACTTAACGGTAACTTCCCAAGCACATCTAGAAAAATATCATGACTAGCAAAATGAGATCATTCCTAGAGGAAATACAACTTCTAACAAAATGGTCAGCTCTAGTTAGAAACAGTTATTCAATTGAGACTCTCTTCTTTACCTATCAAATGAATAAAACTTAAAAAGTGGTAATACTTAATGCTGGTAAAAGGATGGAGAGACCAATTATGGAGATACAAAAAGTATGGCTTCTCTAAAACAGCACTGTCCACTAGAACTTTCTGAAATGATGGAAATAATCTCTGTCTGCATTCTCCAATATGGTAACCACTAGCCACAAGTGATTACTGAGGACTAAGGCTAGTGGCCAGTGCAACAGAGAAACCAATTTTAAAATTACATATAAATACAACTGTAGTCACACGTGGCTAGTGGCTACAATATTGGACAATGCAAGTCTAGAACACAAGCATCGTGTAGTAAATTTCATAAATCTATACATAATCTTTGATCCAGTAATCCCATGTTTGGGAATCCAATTTAAAGAAAAATAGAATAATTAGGAAATATTTATACAAACATTTTCATGAAAATGCTATTTAGAGCAGTGTAAAGGTGACAACAGCTTAAATATCTAAAAATAGGAGATTGGTTATATAAATTATACCATAAATTAAATATTGTACAGTCATTAAAACAATAATTAGAAAATGCTCATTCTATAATATAAGCAGGAATATAAAAATGTAGAGAAGAATAGTTTCAATTATGTTTAATAATAAATATTATAAAAGGATAGGTAGATATATTTAAAAAACAAAACACCTAGGAAGGAACCAATTTAAAATGGTTAAAATATTTAGTTCACAGTTGTTCAATTATAGCTGATACTTTTTCTTTATACATCTCTGAAACTTTCATGTTTTCTGTAATGAGCATATACTGCTTTTACATTAAGGAAAAAAAAAATGTAATCTACCATCCTCAGAACTCCTTTCCAAAACTCACAAGTTAACTAAAATCCTTGTGACAAATCTGCTAGAAATGCCATTTCAACCTTTAAGATTCTTACCACCAGAAGCTAGAGGACACCTCCCAAGAGAGAGAATGGGTGTCTTAGGGTATTCTTTTTGTTCCCAGGGCTCTGGAGTCATGGTGAGGTGCCTCAGATTGCAGGGTTTTCATCTGTTGGAATTTGGAGATGCAGATACCTCAGTTTGGGGAAATTTACTCAAATTATTTATTTATAATGACTCCTCACCACTACCAGCACATGCGCGCGCGTGCGCGCGCACACACACACACATTCTCTTTCTGGAACTCTTGTTATTAAAACATTGAACTTTCTGAACCAATACTATAACTTTACAACCTGTTCTCTCTTTTCCCACCATCTCTCTTATTTCATGTTTTGCTTTCTGGGAGATTTGATTCAGTCAGAATCCTCCACTGAGTTGTTAATTTTTGCTTTCAAATTTTTAAATTTCAAGAACACTTTTTTATTCTTTCAATGTTCATTTTAAAAAGAGCAACTTGGTCTTGCTTCATAGATGCAGTGTCTTCTCTCTCTCTAAGGCATACATTCTCAACGGGGGCACTACTGTCCCCCAAAGGCACAAAAATTGGTTCTTTAGGGGTTGGCAAAAAAACTTAGATATTACAATGATTTGTAGCCCTTCAAAACTCAACCCTATCTGACAAAATCATATTCTTTAATATTTAATTTCTCTCATTAGGAAAAATAAAATTGAATTCTAATTTTTCTCCTTAGAGGTGTGATTTAGGTTTTCATCTCCCCGCATAGTCTCCGTGAATTGGTCTGGGCTCTCCAGAAAAAGAGAACCAATTATAGAGAGATAGATAGAGATAGAGATATATACATACAGTATATATCTTGAACAACACAGGGGCTAGGGGAACCAATCCCTTGTGCAGTCAAAAATCTACAGTAACTTTTGACTCCCCAAAAACCTAAGTACTAATAACCTACGGATGGATGGCCTTACTGATAATGAACAGTCAATTGACACGTATTTTGTATGTTCTATACTATTTTCCTAAAATATATTCTATACTATATTTTTATGACAAAGTAAGCTAGAGAAAAGAAAATGTTAAGAAAATCATAAGAGAAAATATATTTACAGTACCGTGCCTTAAAAAATCTGCATATAAACGGACCCGTGCAGTTCAAACCCGTGTTGTTCAAGTCTCAACTATGAGAGAGAGCGAGAACTACTATAAGGAATTGGCCCACACACTTATGAAGGCTAAGAGGTCTAAGATCTGCAGTTGGCAAGCTGGAGGCGCAAAAGAGCAAATGGTGTAGTTCCAGTCCAAGTCTGAAGGCCTAAGAGGCAGGATTGTCAGTGGTTGAAGTTCCAGTCTGAGCCAGAAAGCAGGACAAGACCAATGTCCCAGGTCAAGACAGTCAGGCAGAGAGAAAGAATTCATCTTAATCAGCCTTTTATTCTATTCAGGCCTTCAACAAACTGGATGAGGCCCACCTACATCAGGGAGGCCAACCTGCTTGACTCAGTCTACTGATCCAAATAGTAATCTCATCCAGAAATGCCCTCACAGACACAC